CCCCCCCCCCCCTCCCTTTTTTCCCTCGCACCGACGATCCCTTCGTTGCGTGTCCCCCATATTCTGCTAATCTCCGTCCTCCTCCTCTTCCTTCCTCCTCTTTCCTCCTCCTCTTTCCTCCTCCTCTTGATCTCCTTTCTCCTCTCCCTTCTCCTGCGCATTCTCCTTCTCGTCCTCTCCTTCTCCTCGTCTTTCTCCTCCTCTTTCTCCTCTTCCTCTCCCTTCTCCTCTCTTTCTCCTTCTCTTCTTCTCCCTTCTCCTCCTCTTTCTCCTCCTCTTTCTCCTCCTCTTCCTCTCCTTTTTCCTCCTTTCTCCTCCTCCTCCTCTTCCTCTCCCTCCTCATCGAAGCTTTCGCGTCTTCCCATGCCTGTGAGGGCAGATCGTTTTTTTTTTTTCCTTTTTTTTTTCTTTTTTTCTTTTTCCTTTTTTTTTGGGTGTATGTGAGGGCAGATCTGTAATCTATATATCTATATACATTTATACATCTATTCGTTTACACGTCTTTCAATCGCTGTTTCTATCCCTTGGCACACGCTCTTGGGACCAACGCGCAGTCGCTTCTCACTCTTTTTTTTTTTTTTTTTTGCTCCTCGATCATTTCTCCCTCGTTTCACGTTTTTCTCGTCAGTCATGAACTTCACTCTCTTCCGCGCAATTTCATCGCAGGGCATTCTCACGCACCAGCACTTCCTCTCAATGTATCTGACCGCAATTGAGGCTAGTGTGAGTGCATCCCTCAGTCATCTCGCGCTATCGCATCTGCCAACCTATCAGTCCTCTTTCCTCTCTCTCTCTCTCTCTCTCCCACGGCCCCCGCCCCCGCTACCTCCGCCCTTCCCCCCTCTCTCCCCCTTCCGACTCTCCCCCCCTTCCCCCCTCTTCCCCCCTTCCACCTCTCTTCCTTTTCTGTGAATCGTCTATCTGCCCAGCGCGTCCGTGAATCACCTTTCTTGCTCGAGCGCTCTCTTACAGATGCGGCGAGGTCTCATTAGTAAAGAGGATTAGATTGGACGGGCGAATCTGGACGTGTTTGTGGAAAGGTGCAGACAATCGCGATTGATCTGCTTTTCTGCATCTCTGCTTTAAACCTATACAAATTCAGGCACATTAAGGCGCTTAATACAGTCCTCTTTGCGAGTGGGACCTTGCTCCTGGCTTAGGGGGCTTGCACGTGATCCGCAGCCACGTGGCTACCAACTATCTTTTTTTTTTTTTTTTTTTTTTTGGCTACCAGCTATCTTTCCGACCGCTGGTCAGTAGAAGTGTATTGAGAGAGAGAGAGAGAGAGAGAGAGAGAGAGAGAGAGAGAGAGAGAGATTGAAAGACGCGACGATTTGGGGAGAAATGGGGAAATAAATACTAGAGAGAGAGGGATAAAAATCATCGTGCTGAAAAAAAAAAAAGATGTAAATAAAAGTAATTAGGATTAAAATACCGATTTACTAGAGAATATAGATCGCAATTCTCTGCACCTTTCCACAAACACGTCCAGATTCAGGCGGTGAATCTTCTCCTCTTTGCTACCGGGACCTCCCTCCTGAGGAGTACCAGAGCGCAGTTTGGTCAGAAGGCCTCGTGTTACCCAAGAGCCCGGCTAGCAAAGAGGATTAGATTCATAGCCTGCCTGAATCTGGACGTGTTTGTGGAAAGGTGCAGAGAATTGCGATCTGTATTCTCTAATAAATCGCCCGAAATGTTGAAATACAGACCCCGGGCCCATGTCCCACTTGCACCGTTTGGTTGAGCTGGTTCAACGGTGTTTGACACTCCATTGGGGCTTTTAATAATTCATTGAAAATGTGGAACGTGATTTTTAAATACCTGTTTTGACTCCTTTTTTTTTTTTTTTTTTTTTTGACATTTTCCTCCGTTTACAGAGAAGAAAAAAAATCAAAAAAACAATATATATTATTTGTCATTGTATCTAGGCTACCAGCCGGGACGCCCGGGTCACCCTATTTTCCCGGGCGGCCCGGCCGTGCAAGGACCAGGGAAGGTCCCAGCCAAAAAAAAGAAAAACAAAAACTCCAAAAAATTCGGAAAAAAAACTATGTTATGCAGAAAAATAAACTGAACAACTTTTGCCTCAGGGTCACATCGAAATTCTTTACCAAATTTAAAATTCAAATTTAAATTAGAAAATAGATATATATACTCTCTCTGCCTACGGTTTACCGGGCAGTTCTATTTGTGACGATATATATATATTTTTTTTCCTTCTTTGCCCGGCCGGGCAAGTGGACCCGGGCCACTTTGGTAGCTTAGCATTGTATGCCTTCTTTGTTTTTTTTGGACATTGTATGTATGGCTTTTCGGATTCCAATGTGATGTGCGATATTCGCTCGCTTTTTTTTTCTTTTTTTTTTTTGTTGAACCAAAGACAGATCTTTGGAGTCTGAGCAGTGGCAGACCTCGCAACTCAGACCCACCCCGAGATCTCCAACTTGTATTTAGAGAGAGAAATGGCCTCAGGATTACTATGCAAGGAAAATGAGCACCAGCGAGATGACAAATCCAGATT